TATATATATATATATATATATAATGCTGGCTGGCTCATATTTCCTCTAGGATTTCCTGGTCTTAAAGGCATTTTTGGATTGGATGGCCTGAAAGGTCAAAAGGGTATCAATGGTGCTCCAGGTACCTCTAGAGCGTAGGAATGATCACATTATACACATTGTTGTCTTCTCTTATGAATAAAAATTGCATGATTTTCAGTTTCGAAAAAATTTTTAATAGTACCTTATGTAAAGCAAATATTGTGTATATGCAGAAATGTCGTCTTTGGTATGTTTTGTCTCCTGCAAGGTTCTGACAACTGGGGTCCTCCTGGTGAGCCAGGAGCAAAAGGGGAGAGAGGAGAGACCGGCATCCCCAGCACAGAAGCCGGTGTCCCCGGAGAGGTGGGATTCAAGGGTTTCTTTGGAGATTCAGGTAGCTCAAAATGGCAAACCTCATATTCTAAAACTGGAGTTTTGTGCATTGTTTATTTGTTACAGCTATGCATTATTCTACACTGAAACTGCTGTGTTTACAGGTAATAAGGGTGAATCTGGGCATCCAGGTGTACCGGGTCCTCGGGGTCCACAAGGATTCTCCGATATAAAAGGAGTGCCAGGCGACTATGGCTTTCCAGGCCCAAAAGGACTTCCAGGTGAAGGGCTCATTACTATATATTTATTATAATAATACTAGTAATGAGTACTACAGACAGTATAAGGAGGAGATGGACTACTTAAATGCACTTTGGCTCTCATTTGTCCCAATTATTAACAACCATTTTAAATATTATTTAGCAAAAGAAGGTTAAATATGTTTTGTAAATTACTAAAGTAAATATATAGTGCCACTTTACCATACAAGAAATAACTTATTTCTTAATCTATAATCTTTTTTGAAAATGAATTTTGAGAACGTGCCATCTTGTCTGAAACCCATTGCTGTTATCATTTAGGTTTCCCTGGTCCCAGAGGGATCCCAGGTGACCCATCTCCATTCGGAGCAAGAGGAGAGAATGGACATCCAGGTGATTTTGGATTGACTGGAGAAAAAGGAGTCCAGGGCGACTCAGGAGAAAAAGGACCATCAGGGGAACCTGGAGTGTCAGGAAGAAAAGGTAGATGATGAAATATGATTATGGCAAATCTCATTGCATTGGCAAAATCAAACCAGTAGTCATTATGTCAAGACAATTAAATCATGCACATTCTCAAATGAAATGAGAGACTAAAGCAGAATGTGTTAAATGTGACAAAAGGTGGAATCCTCGCATGAAAATCATATTAGATGAACAATGTTTAGATTGCTCACTTTGTTCCAGTATGAGCCTTAACTGAAAAAGAACTGTAATCATGTAGGAATGCTTTATTTCATCTCAAGGGGAGAATGGAGAAACAGGAATGATGGGATATCCAGGAAGGCGTGGTTTTGAAGGCGACAGGGGCCCTGTTGGACCTAAAGGAGATACTGGACCCCCAGGTGAGTTGAAATGATTTGTCAGCATGACCCTTTTAATCCTGAGTACAACATATTTTTATATTTAAAATCTAAAATGTGTAATTGTTTTTATAATAAAATATTTTCAATTTCCTATCTCAGCTTAATATGCAAGAATAGCTCTACTGCATGGTTTTCGTTAATATATTTCAAATTTTGCTTATAATATTTTGTTTATTTATAATATTTGTAAAATGTTCTGCTTACTGAAGTAATTTTTGTTCTGACCTGCATTTTTTTATTATTATTATTATTATTATTATTTTATTTTTTTTGTAGTGATAATGCTTGACCAGTAGATTTAAATGTGTTGGCTGCAATGAGATCTGGATCTAGATTGTATTGAACATTTAACATTTCTTATTTATTCAGACCAGAAGTGGTGCCAGAACCATTTGTTGCGGTTTGCAGTAAATAAAGTCCATTAAGTTTGACCGCATCTTATCCATTCTCTCTACCTTGTTGCTTAAGGTATTCCTGGCTTACCTGGTTCTAAAGGGCTTCCACCAGTCCCACTGAAACTACCAGGGGAGAGAGGACCACCTGGCCCAATGGGTATTCAAGGACCACAGGGATGGCGTGGAAACCCAGGCCCTGCTGGACCTCCTGGTGATCCAGGTAGGAGAATTCAAAGCCATGAATATGATGCATAAGCTGCTTCTTTTGTGCTGTTGCTGTGCTCCAGTATCATTGTGTAAATGGCTATTATCTGTTTACAGGGGTTTTGGGTCCAAATGGGGAAAAAGGCATGCCAGGTCTCACTGGAATACCAGGAAATCCAGGCTTCCGTGGAGAACCTGGACAATTGGGCCACCCTGGTCTACAAGGTGAAGAAGGTAAGTGGTGTGCTTGTGTAAAAATGAATGAGGATTCTGGACTAGATTAGTGGATTAACGATTGTAGATGACTGGACATCAAGAAGGCCCATGTGAGCCTTTCATTTTTAAATAATTTTGGCAATTTCATGTAAATAGTTTTTTCTTTTCTCACGTGAATTACAAGTTGATAATGCATCTCAATTGGTAGGGACCCGAGGGAGCCCTGGTTTACCTGGTACTATTGGAATGCCCGGCCGCAGTGTTAATGTTGGCTACCTGCTGGTGAAGCACAGTCAGTCTGAGAAGATCCCCATGTGCCCTGTGGGTATGTCCAAGTTATGGGATGGTTACAGTCTCCTGTACTTTGAGGGACAGGAGAAGGCCCACAACCAAGACCTGGGTAAGTGCAACTGACAAAATAATAAAATCAATCACAAAATGTGCTGTAATTCCCAGTCTGACACCACCATTATTTGTACAACTTTAGATCAAACAACATATAAAAAAAACATAAATACTGTTTTAGTATGAACACAACCTTAATTTCTAAGAAACAAAAACTAATATATAATCATAAATAAACTGACTTTCACTAGCAGATGGTTCAAGCACTTTAAAACAGTGAATCATTTTACAAATTGGATCAACTGATTCTAAGATTCAAAAAGATTTGTTTCTCCTATCACTGGTCAACAACAGACATGTTTATGAACGTAATTCATGTTTTACAATGCTTTCCAAGTAATTCATTTTCTTATTATATCATCTAATATATATTACCAATCAAAAAGTTTAGGGTTGTTAAGATTTTTAAATGTTTTTGAAAGAAGTTATTTGATCAAAATATAGTGAAAACAGTAATATTCCGAAATAATATAGAAATGTTTTCTATTGCAATATATTTTAAAATGTATTCAGCATCACATGATCATTCATTCTAGTATGCTGTTTTGATGCTCAAGAAACATTTATTATTATTATCAATATTGAAAACCGTTGTGCTGTGTAATATTATAATAATATTAGTAATAATAATAATAATATTTTTGTAACATACGTTTTTATAAATTCTACTGTTTACTTTTACTATCACTTTTGATTCGTTTTATGCATTCTTGCTGAATAAAAGTATTACTTACTCACTGAATAAACTTACTGACGTATGTTAAGTAATTATATTTAAATCAATAACTGTACTTTGTGATTCTCTTTGTCATCCAGGTCTAGCCGGCTCATGTCTCCCCCGTTTTAACACCATGCCCTTCCTGTACTGCAATCCTGGAGATGTATGCTACTATGCCAACCGCAATGACAAATCCTATTGGCTGTCCACCACCGCACCAATTCCCATGATGCCCGTGGAGGAGGCCGAAATAAAACCATACATCAGCCGCTGCTCCGTGTGTTTTAAAATGTATTCAGCATCACATGATCATTCATTCTAGTATGCTGTTTTGATGCTCAAGAAACATTTATTATTATTATCAATATTGAAAACCGTTGTGCTGTGTAATATTATAATAATATTAGTAATAATAATAATAATATTTTTGTAACATACGTTTTTATAAATTCTACTGTTTACTTTTACTATCACTTTTGATTCGTTTTATGCATTCTTGCTGAATAAAAGTATTACTTACTCACTGAATAAACTTACTGACGTATGTTAAGTAATTATATTTAAATCAATAACTGTACTTTGTGATTCTCTTTGTCATCCAGGTCTAGCCGGCTCATGTCTCCCCCGTTTTAACACCATGCCCTTCCTGTACTGCAATCCTGGAGATGTATGCTACTATGCCAACCGCAATGACAAATCCTATTGGCTGTCCACCACCGCACCAATTCCCATGATGCCCGTGGAGGAGGCCGAAATAAAACCATACATCAGCCGCTGCTCCGTGTGCGAAGCTCCATCCGTGGCCATCGCCGTACACAGTCAAGATATAACAATTCCACAATGCCCAGCAGGCTGGAGAAGTCTCTGGATTGGCTATTCCTTCCTTATGGTGAGACTTAGTTTCTAAAATGTTACACTTCCGTTCTTTTAATAGTCCTGTAACTCCTTCTGTTACTCCCTCGCAGCACACGGCAGCTGGAGATGAAGGTGGCGGTCAGTCTCTGGTGTCTCCGGGCTCCTGTCTAGAAGATTTCCGCACCACTCCCTTCATCGAGTGTAACGGGGCCAAGGGTACGTGTCACTACTTCGCCAACAAGCAAAGTTTCTGGTTGACGTCTATCGATCAGACCTTCCAGAGTTCCCCTTCCTCTGAGACACTGAAAGCCGGTCAGCTCCTGTCACGCATCAGCCGCTGCCAAGTGTGTATGAAGAACCTGTGAGCTGTAACCTATGAACTTTGACACTATTGCAGCAGCATTACAGTTAACACCAGCAGAGCGACCCACGCAAATAGTTCATTCCAAATGTCAATTGGATGTCAACGTCGCAAGTTAGGCTTTTGAAATTACTTAAAGGGGTCATATGATGCAATTTCAATTTTTCCTTTCTCTTTGGAGTGTTACAAGCTCTTGGTGCATAAAGAAGATCTGTAAAGTTGCAAAGACTAAAGTCTCAAATCCAAAGAGATATTCTTTATAAAAGTTAAGAGAGGAGAAACAATAATGTACAGTATGTGGAAAATAATGTGTTTTTTTAACCTTAAACCGCATAAACACATTTCATTACACCAAATACACAAAATAATGTTCTTTTTAGCAGCATCACCTTATGACATTATGACACATTATGACCCCTTTAATGTATTTAATGTATCACATATGACGGCCTCAGATTCCCTCTTCACCACTACTGTGTACCTTATGACTGAAAATAATGAGAAGTGAAGCCAGATGCATGAAAGCATAGCTACGATATTTCTCTGTTTTATTTACTTTTTTATATATGAAATGGTGCTTAACTTCTAACGTATTACCTCAGCAATATCAGACCTGAATTAATATTACCAAAAACATACAGCTGAACCAAAGAATCCCATGCTTATGCACTTCTTCGCCGTTCTGTGTTATGTATCATCACTTTGTGAATGGAGGGTTGGGAATCAAGAACCGGTTCTTATTCAAAACAAGCTCCATTTTTTTAATGGCAGTATCTATTTACACTAAGTACAAATAATCACTTCTACCCAGCTAACAGGAAACGTTCTGGCAAGGTTCTCTCAAAGTTATGAAAATCGGTCTTCTAGGTCTTTAAAAATGTTGTCATAATGTTTGCACAAAAAATGCTATTTAAACATAATTTATGGAATTTTTTTTTTTTTTTTAACAATTTTTGGGAAATTCATTTAACATTTTTTAAACGTTACTACTTGTTTCAGAATGTTCAGAGAATTCAAAAGTAACGCTCCCATAATGTTGGCAAACTGATACAACGGAACGCATAAACAAGAAAAAAAAAACATTTTCCAAACATTTTAAAAACTGTTTTTAAAAAAAACAAACACTGTCATTTAAAAAAGATGTTTTGAGTGTTCAGAGATTGTTCATAAATACTTAAACGGGAACATTAGCAAAATGTTCTTTTTGTTAGTTGGGTTTCTGCACTTCATGATTCAGTTCTGTTTACGGTTCTGGAACGTCTGCATTCACCGTAATAAAATACGCCAAGCCGATCAGTGTTAATCTTACTCTCTGACATGTGCATGTGAATCAACTTTCTAATAGTAATTATTTGTTGTGATTAAATACAAACACACTCATGCGTGATGCTTTGCAAACATGGCACATGACACACTTCAGAAAAATGTCATTTGAAGCAGGACTGATTGTTTAATAAATAGGGATGGGTATCGTTCAAAAAATTTCGATACCAATACCTTGACTTCAATACCAGTTCCTGAACGATACTTTTTTCAATACCAATTTTATGAAATCCATTTTAACAAGACTACATTACCTCAAAAAACTTTTCTTTTCAGTTTGTTGAGGTTTTTAGACTCAAAAGATTGATCTCCTGAGCCACTGCAAAGAAACAAAATGTAACCAACACAATAAATCAGTGCAAATAGTTTTAATAAAGTTAAAATAGTTTTCAGTGCATGAACAGTTGTGAGGATCACTGCTGCATGCTTAAGATCTTTAAATCACTCATTATTTTTTAACTCTTATATAAATGTAATTTCACCAGACTTACACTAACACCATCTTTTGCTGCCTGTACATTATTTTTGCTTTGTCTTTTTGATGTGCTATAATTGAACAGCTCAGAAGTATTTTATTTTTTTTAGCATTTCCCCTGTATCATGTAATGTTGTCACACCTGTAATGACACTATTTATCTCATGGAAACACAGAGTAGGGTGTTCATTGGGTATTTCATTTCCTAAAGGTCATAAACTCTGAGACTTGAAGCTTTTACTAGAGTTTTGTCCAGTCAAGAGGCTTTGGATTCTGGTTTGTTTGAGATAAACCCTCACTTGGTTTCACCAATTGCAGGTCTTTAGAAGACTCGAGTTCAATCTTTTTCCCATTTCACATGCACAACCAGACTATATTTTCTGTAAGCAACGTCTATATCTAATGACTAAACCAAATGTGGGTCACCTAATCGTCTTCAAGCTATTTTGGACTTTGAACAGATTTGCCCATTTTCAGAGCACATTGCACAAGCATTATTGTCCTGAAGCCCATAAACCACTTACGTGTATTTGACACCAGTAAAGCGAACCAAAAAAGGTTATAATTCAAAACACTTTTTGCATTGAAAACATGTCACTGCTTTTTTTATCAAATGTAATTATGTAGAATATTTGAAGTCTTTGATTTTGAATTGTATTGTTATTGAATAAAATAACAATAAATGCTTTGTTTGTTATATTTGTGTCATCTCTCATTTTATTGATATCTGAACAATCATAGGAAGTCAAGTATGAACTCTTACTCACACACTACTGTTCTAAATTTTGGGCTCAGTTTTTCTTTCTTTCTTTTTATAAAGAAATTAATACTTAGGCAAGGAAACAATAATTCAAAAGTGACAGCAAAGACATTTATGTTACTTTTTTTTTTTTTTATAAATTATGTTCTTTTGACATTTCTATTCAAATAATTTTTTGAAAAAAATCATGGTTTTTACAAAGATATTAAGCAGCATAACTGTTTTCAACATTGCTAATAATAAGCATATTAGCATATTAAAATATAAGCATAACAATCATGATTTCTGAAGGATCACGTGACACTGAAGACTGGAGTAGTGATGCTGAAAAATCAGCTTTGCCATCACAGGAATAAATTACATTTTAAACTTTAGGAAATTGTATTTTTCTCAAATTAGAGTAAGTGAGGCAGTATCAGAAAATATTCATGTAATTTTCACAAAATATAAATTTAGTCCATATATAATAAAAAAAAATTAAAAAAAACCCATGTCCACTCCATTCCATTAATGCAAAGAAAAAAAAATCATGTAAAAAATTTTTCACAAAGTTAAAACTGAACAAACCAAGTATTCCGATTTTTTTATTTTTTATTTTTTAATACTGCTCTTTGGGGGGGGGGTACATCAGTACATAGCATTAGTTTTAGGTATGATTTTGAGCCATTCCTCCTTTGGCACTGACTGACAACACAATCCCACATCTCCTATATTTGTCCTGCACAACATCCTGTTTTAGTCTTTTTCACCTCCATTGGCATCTCCAGATCCACAGTGGCATTTTCTCCCTCACTCCTTTTCTTCAGGATGGAGGGCAGGACCAGATCAAAGAGGGTTTCAAACAAAATGTCCACATTGTAACCCGTTTTAGCACTTGTCTCAAAGCACATCCTCTCAGCAGGCAGACAGGCCTTCTCCTCCAGGCCTTTGTAGCGTAGCACACGGCCGTACAGGGTGATGGCGTCCTCTCTGCTGACCTGTTTTGTGGCAGGAGGAGTCGGACACGTGACCACAGGCTGGGATTCGTCCCATCGCTCGCTCTCTGGTTCTGGCTCTTGAGCGAGAGCGTCAGTAAGGTCTGCTTTGTTACCCACAATGGCAAATATGCAGTCAGTGTTGGCAGTGTCGGTCAGGGACAGGAAGCGGTTTTCCAGCTCAGCCAGGCTCTGCCAGTTGGTAACGTCATAGGTGAGGATGACTGCAGCTGCACCACGGCAGTACATGGAGCCCAGGCCATGAAACTGCTCTCGACCTGAACACAACAGAAAACACAATCAGGAGAGTAAAGCACAGTCATACAGTACTGCATTTCAGCGTAGATTTGGAGAATTTGCACTTTATTTGAGGTCTATTTAAACTGAATACTTCTACATTACTTTTCTAAGACAAAAATGATAAGTTCACCCCTCTATCATCGTATGTTATCATGTCCGTCAAAACTTAGGCAGGCTGTGGCTGGAATATTAGAAGACAGAAACATTGACATAACACACTCATGGGCATCAATTAATATGAACACAACATCAATGTCTGTCAAAAAATAACATGCACAATATATAGTCGTACTTATGAGAAGCCTGTAGAGGTCCAGGCAGTACACGCATTTCCTGGAAAACACACACTACCGGATGTTTTGTCATCTCTTTCTGAGAGGAAGGAGAAAACGGCGGCCTGAGCGGCTTTATCATGCTGTCCGCCAGAGACAATAACGTACCTACACTAATACACAACACACAAGTATAAATTTGTTCTTCATTTGTTGAAACTGACAGATATTTACCTATTTCTCTTAACTTTTCAGTTGTTTAAAAGATTAAAGCAATTATAGGTGTAATGTCTTTGATTACTTAATTTTAGGGAATTAATTATTATTAATTCATTCAGGTTTTGAGAGGAATCGAATCTGAAAATTCGAGGTCCACCTGATTAAAACTGATTTCAAATTTGATAGTTTACACTCTATCAGCTACTCGGCCAGCGAGACGTTAATGTCAGTGTATATTACCAATTTGACTATATGTATATTCCCTGGCCACAGGTTAATACAATTACTGTGGTTATTAAAATTCCTTTGGGCGAAGGGAAAATAATAACAATGACAGTATTGGTTTCTTAGCTGTTAAGATTGACACCGTCCACCAATTAGATGTTCCTAGATGCTTGTTCAAATTTTGGCGGATTCCTGTCAATCCTCTTAGCTGGGTAGGGTTTCGCAAGAGAGTGAAGTTAAATGGAAGACAATTTTGAACCAACGTTCTCAAGTTTCAGATACCTGTTCAATTGCTAAAAATATCTGCTTTGTGATTTTCACAGGCAAAATCCCAGCAAACAACCGCAGTAGTCAACTCAGAAGGCAACAGCTGAGAGAGAGGAAACCCTAATTTTCCTTTTGGGTTTTTCCCCTAACAGGCTTAAGCCAAACGGGCAAACTTATGAAAATTTAGCTGAGTTCATTAAATAACTGAAAGGGAGAGGAAAGAAGGCCAATTGCAAATTAAATTAGAATTTCGGGTTAGAAATGGTATTTCCTGGTTAAAATTTAATGATGTTATCATTAAAATTGATGAGAGTAATTAAA